CCTCCCCTTCCCTCCCCTCCCGTTTCCTTCCCTTTCCTTCCCTTCCCTTCCCGTTTGCCTTATCATATGTGGATCATCAGACTGCTGCTAGAATGTTCACACTTGTTACTGCAAATTCAAAACCCATAAAAGACTTCTCCTGGGAATTTGCTTTAGATCAAGAGTTGGTATCAGAAAAGGCTTTGCTGCCTCCTTTTAAAGAAGTTTTTACCCAGGCCTGGAGCCGTGGCTCATGCTTGTAATAACAGCACCCTGGGAGGCCAAGGCAGGAGCAGGGAGCATCGCTGGAGGTCAGGAGCTGTCTTGTTGTGGGAACAGCCTTGAACTGACCCAGCAGGCTGCCTGGTACAAGGCTACGCCCACAACAACAAGACAGCCTTTCCTCAGACCATTCTTTTATGGGTGTGAGTTTCTTTCTTTCTTCTTAAATTTCTTTTTAGAGATAGAGTCTCACTTTATCACCCTCGGACAGGTGCTGTGGCATCACAGCTCACAGCAACCTCCAACTCCTGGGCTTAGGCGATTCTCTTGCCTCAGCCTCCCAAGTAGCTGGGACTACAGGCGCCTGCCATAGCACCCAGCTATTTTTTGTTGCAGTTTGGCCAAAGTCAGATTTGAACCCACCACCCTTGGTATATGGGGCCGGCGCCCTACTCACTGAGCCCCTGGCACCACCCCCACCCCACCCCCGCTTTTTTTCTTGACAGTATCTCACTCTGTTGCCCAGGCTATAGTGTCGTAGCATCAGCCTAGCTCATAGCAACCTCAAAAGCCTGGGCTCAAGTGATCCTCCTACCTCAATTTCCCAAGTAGCTAAGACTATAGGCGCCTGCTAAGATTTCCAGTTAATATTTGTATTTTTAGTAGAGACCAGGTCTCACTCTTGCTTAGGCTGGTCTCCAGCTCCTGACCTCCAGCAATGCTCCCATCTCGGCCTTCCAGAGTCCTGGGATTATAGGCATGAGCCCCTGCGCCTGGCCTGGATAAAAGCTTCTTTAAAAGGAGGTGGCAAAGTCTTTTCTGATACCAACCAATTCTCCAATTCTTTGACACAAGTGCGTATCCAACGATTCCATGCATTTCTGACACTATCTACCTGATTTGAGCATCAAATCCCATAAGCGAAAGGGCTGGGGTTCAGTCCCACAAGACCGCCCCCACTTTGGACATCAGTCACAAGTCCTAGGGACTGGAGGTTTCCACGACTCCCTCCTCTGTTCTCATAATTTGCTAGAATGGCTCTCAGAACTTTAGAAAACGCTTGACATATGTTTCCTGGTTTGTTACAAAGGATCGAAATAAGCAGCTGGTTGAAGAGGCACACAGGGCAAGGTCCCCAGGGGCCCTGAGATTCTCAAATGCTGTTTATGAGAACAAAAGGCTGGGAACAGGCTTTTGGAGACTATTTGATGCCAACTTTTCTTTTTCCAGTTGGGCAAACTGAGGTCCGCCTTATTCAGCACATTAATAACAGAGCCGGGTCTAGGACCCAGTTTCTCTGTCTGTCAAACAATGACGGTCATAACTGGTATTGACTGACAGCCTACGACATGACAGGGATCAACCTTGTGGGGCAGATCTTCTTATTAACCCACATTTACAGATGAGGAATTGAAGGTTCAGAAAAGGGGCATAACTTGTCCAAGGTCCTACAGCTGGGCCAAAGCAGAACTTCGATGCTATATTCCTCTCTTGAGAAAATAACAGCCTTTACCATACCATGTTATTGAGAGGATGTGGTCACCTAAAGCACACTTACAGGAAGGAAAACATTTCAGCAGCTGCTTCCACATCTTAACAGGGGTGGCAGAAGGAAGGCTGTGCCTTTGTAAGGAAAATACCTTCACATGGAAGATGAGCCACCCCACCTCCACCCTAGGTGAGAATCTAGGGAGTTAGGAGTCACTTTGCTGGGTGCAACAAAAAACGAGAAATATTGGCTTTTCTGGTCAACAGCCAGAAGCCGGTCAACTTTTCAGCAGCCTGAGAGGGCGGGATAAGATGGAGAAGGGTCTTTGGAGGAGTAGTACTCATCATGGGGTGAGCAAGCAACTCTGCTGAGAGAAGATGATAGTCCCAGAAGGAAGAGTGGCAATAAGGGCTGAGAATTGCTTCAGAAGCAGGGATTTAGAGTGAGAAGTGACCAGAGGTTATAAAGGTCCCCTGGGCTTCCTCAGAAACAGAAGGAAAGGCTCTGAACTTCCCAGAGCACGTGGGATGGAGACTTGATATTTGACTGTTAAGGGAAAGGGCTTTGCTTTGGGGTGCACCTGTCAGATGTTGAAAATTTTAGCACAGTATCTCTGCTCAGCAAATGCTTACTACATTGCAGCTGTCATAGAGACAATAGAACACAATGATGGGGGGGCAGTCCTGAGCCAGAGCGCTTGGGTTCTTATCTTGGCCATGTTCCTTTCTCATCTGAAAAATGGAAATGCTATGAACACCTATCTCATAAGGCTGTAAGGAGGAGTGAGTTAACATACTGAAATCTAGGACACAGCATTCAATACATGTGGGCCATTATGATTATGGTCTATGGATGAAGAAACAGAGGTTCAGAAAGGGTTATATCTGGCCGTAGTCACACAGCTTCGGTGGTGCACTGGTGACCAGGTCTCAGACAAAACAGAATGAAGAGAACATCGAGTCCTGATTTGTTGCATATGCCAATTCCTGTGGTGTAATTATTCCCACTGTGGCTGATTTCAAGCTACCTGTGGCTTAACAACCATTTACCACATCTCAGAATATTTAACAATTGGCTCTTGTGAGCCAGCACCCCACTGCAGCAGCTTGTAAGTTATCCAGCATTTAGAACCGTGCATAAATGTTCTCTCCTATTGAAAGTCTATCGG